AGTGTTGTTATTTTTCGGGTCAATCAGAAATACAATTTGGCTGCCATGGCCGCTATTTTGCTACTAAATTCTAATAGGCCGATCTCACTTAAAATTGGTCTAGGAATGATCAGCTCATGGTCCTGACAAAGTTAAGTTAACATTATACTATTTTTTACTCAAATTGGTACATATTTCAACAAAAAAAATAAATACTGTAGACTCAGGTGACCGTTAAGGCCCATGGGCCTCTTGTTATATGAAATTGATTGATAATTGCAGTATTGTTAGTGTGTTATGATACAGGTAAACAAAATGATTTGATACAATATACAAGAAAGTATCATGATACAAAAACATTTTGTGAATTGTTTCAGCCGAAAATTGAATATCATAGGAATCATGATGGTAAATCTAAAACTAAACTGAAAGATAACAAATGTGACAATTAGAAATTTTGAAAGAGCGTTACCATTATGGAAATTGTTTCAAGTTGTCTTATCATTGAATCTGTTTCAGATGACCCTGAAGGTTGGCTAAGTGCTCTGGAGGTGCCTTACAACTGTCCTCCCCTCATCGCACGAGCCGTTCAACAGCTGGCTAAGGCCAATCAGTGGGAAGGAACCAGTTTACTGGTGTTGGGGATCCACTCCGGCCCTTCCAGCCCCTGGGAGGGGATAGCCAAGCACATCCCAACAACCAATGTCATGGTGGCTTTTTTGGTCAGAGTCATGAGAAGAAACGTGAGAGATCTAAAGAAGTGGGGTCATAAGCTTCTGGTAGTGTTGTGTAAAAATGGGGCGTCAATTACGGACATGGAGAAACAATTGGAGACGCCTGCCATACACACAGGACTACAAATGGCCTTAGCTTCAGGTAATTACAAACATACAGGGTTACAAACCTCCCTAGGTTCAGGTAAGTATATACACACAGGGTTACAGATGGTGTTAGCTACAGGTAAGTATATACACAGAGATACAGATGGTGTTATCTACAGGTAAGTATGTAGAAAATGGGTTACGGATGGTGTTAGCTACAGGTAAGTATATACACAGATACAGATGGTGTTAGTTACAGGTAAGTATATATACACACGGTTACAGATGGTGTTATCTACAGGTAAGTATATACAGAGAGATACTGATGGTGTTAGTTACAGGTAAGTATATACACAGAGATACTGATGATGTTAGTTACAGGTAAGTATATACACACAGGGTTACAGATGGTATTAGCTACAGGTAAGTATATACACAGATATACAGATGGTGTTATCTACAGGTAAGTATATACACAGAGATACTGATGGTGTTAGTTACAGGTAAGTATATATACACAAGGTTACAGATGGTGTTATCTACAGGTAAGTATATACACAGAGATACTGATGGTGTTAGTTATAGGTAAGTGTATACACAGAGATACTGATGGTGTTAGTTACAGGTAAGTATATATACACAAGGTTACAGATGTTGTTATCTACAGGTAAGTATATACACAGATATAGATGGTGTTAGCTACAGGTAAGTATATACACAGATACAGATGGTGTTAGTTACAGGTAAGTATATACAAAATGGGATACAGATGGTGTTATCTACAGGTAAGTATATACACAGATACAGATGGTGTTAGTTACAGGTAAGTATATACGCAGAGATACTGATGGGGTTAGTTACAGGTAAGTATATACACACAGAGATACTGATGGTGTTAGTTATAGGTAAGTGTATACACAGAGATACTGATGGTGTTAGATACAGGTAAGTATATACACAGAGATACTAATGGTGTTAGTTACAGGTAAGTGTATACACAGAGATACTGATGGTGTTAGTTATAGGTAAGTGTATACACAGAGATACTGATGGTGTTAGATACAGGTAAGTATATACACAGAGATACTGATGGGGTTAGTTACAGGTAAGTATATACACACAGGGTTACAGATGGTGTTAGCTACAGGTAAGTATATACACAGATATAGATGGTGTTAGCTACAGGTAAGTATATACACAGATACAGATGGTGTTAGTTACAGGTAAGTATATACACAGAGATATATACAAGTTTCAAGTTCAAGTTTTTTATTTACCAAATGCAATACAGCATTTAGGTTACATCACACATGGTTCATAATAAAGTACAATATACAAAATGGCGGAGGATAATTCATGGTTCACATATTTAACATATAGATTTTTACTGACCCACAAGGGCTTTTCTTTTGGCAGTTGCATGCAATAAATATTTACCAAGTTTACTTTAAGTTTTGACATTTTTACATGAAAATAATTCAATTAATTTATAGACACCAGGGTGTTGATAATAATATTGTTTTAAATATGTATTTCTTAATTCAGAATAAGCTAGACAAAGTAGTATAAAATGCATCTTATCTTCTACCTCATTTTTGTTACAGACAGTACATATTCTTTGGCCTCTTGGGACGGCATTGTAACATCCTGACTCAATATTAAGACAGTGTGCTTGCATGCGATTTTTACTCAATGATTTTTTGATACTAGAAGTTAAGGGCTTTGTTAAGTAAAATTGAATTTGAAAATAATCAACAAGATGTTTATATAAGTCGCATTTTGAAGATTTATCAAATGCACTACATAATTCTTGAATGAATACATCATGCAAGCGTTGAGAATACAATTCCAAAAACTGCCTTTCATTTTGTACATTTTGAGCAATCCAAATATGGTTAAAACCAATTCTACATAGATCATTTTCAACTTGATAGTCCAATTTAATTTACAATTTGGCTTTCTGATATGTTACTCAAATAAAGCATCATAACATGATTTTAAAACACAATTGTTAGTTTTTATCAATTTAACCAATATTTTATGATTGCAATTTTACGCCGTACATGTAGTGAATATCTGCTCGTTTCAAAATACACCATAGAATTATTAACGGTTTTCTTTACATTCAATACTTCTTTTAGAAAAAGAAGGTGAACATTTTCAATGTTTGGTGCTGGATAATGACCCCGCAACTCACAACCATAATTAAGTACACATGTTACACAAGTGTCAAATAGTGATATCTTAGTTTCAGTATTTAGCATATAATCCTTTATTCTATTCTTAAAAAGATAATAAGTTTTCCTTCCTTGAGATGCTTAAGTATTCTGAGCCACTGTATACCTTCCGTTATAATTAAAGACTAATACTAAAAAACAAAACTGATCTACAACCTCTATGGTCCTTTCATTAAATTTCCAACTTTCATTAGATAATATCCGTTTGCTTTTTCTAAAAATAACTTTTTTTTTTTTTCACTGTTAACTGTTAAGGTCCATTTTTCAGTATAATCTTGCGAACAATCTAACATATTTTGAAGATCGTTAAAATCTTCTGAAAATAAAACTGTCATCAGCATACATTATAAGAAATAGATTTAATAGTTGTCATTGATAACTCTGGCAATTAGAATTTATAAGAATGCTTTCCATATCATTAACAAATAAAGAAAACAACATGGGCGATAAAGCCTCCCCTTGTAAAAGTCCTACATGTATATCGAACATAGCAGAAAATTTCCCGCTTAATTTTGTACAAGATTTTCCATTTTCGTAAATTGACTTAATTACATTCAGCAATCTACCCCTAATTCCACTTCTCCATATTTTAAGCCAAAGTTTGTCATGAGTAACACAATCAAAAGCTTTACTATAATCAACAAATGCACAATAAAGCCTTTTATTTTGTTGTAAAGTGTACAGAAGGTGTTATCTACAGGTAAGTATATACACACAGGGTTACAATTGATATTACCTACAGGTACATCTGTGTGTACCAGTTAAAAACTTATCATCAGTAAATATATTTTTGTACACATATGTGAGTATCCTTGGCAAATGCTTAATAATACACAACCGTGGCAGATCCAGAGACCTATCTGGTTTTTTTTCCAAATTTCCTAGGGGGGGTTCCATGTGGGGAAAAATCGAGGAAAATGGTGAAAATATACAAGTTTTAAAGAAAATTATCAGGGAGGAGGGATTTCCTGAAGCCAAAAATAACCTCTGGATCCGCCACTGCATGACAATTTTGTACCACGATACATATTGTGGGGCACAATACTATACAATGCTGTATGATATTATTCTCCTGATTCACCGTGTTCATTTCAATCTTGTTGTTATTAGGCCAGGTAGATTTTCTAAAGTACTTATTTGAGAGTTACCTGAAGACAGCTGCAGAGAAGGACGCTAAGGACAGTGATGGAACTACAGCCCTCCATAAGCTGGTGGTGTGTGGCCAGATCAACACGACCCTCGGGGAGACCATCCTTCGACTTCTCCTAAATAACAGCTGTAGCACCAAAGTCAAAGACAGGACAGGCAAGACACCCATACAGTTCCTCAGCCCCAAGGACGCAGGCTATGCCCTCATACAGGCTGCAGAGAAGGTGGCAGGTTGGTACATTTACATATAGTTTGTAGAGAGTAGATACATTTGTAGTAGGGGAGGTAGGCACATTCATTGTTCTCTGAAAGATTTCAGTGGTTCATTTCACAAGTAGTGAGTCAAATATTGCTAGGCTATAGAATCATAAACAATTTGTTCCTCGTAAAACAGCCAGCTCCATATGTTCCTGTTGCCATGTTCCTGCTGGCAACTGGCTTGTTACAAGAACACTGTAACGTGTGTTAGGGTACGTAGATGTGTTGAATGATTTACCTGTAAGAACTGTTATATGCTGTACCGAAAGCTGTTCAAATGATCTCAAAGGCACTAGATGGATTCTTTAACCAATGGAAGATCACATTTTACGCTAAAATAAACTCATCAGAAGAGAAATTATAGCTAGCGCTGTTATCAAACGAAATATCTTAGTGAAATATACACATTTATACTTACATGATATTTCAGTGAGATGAATTTCAAATTACCATTTATTGATTTTTAGCTCACCTGGTCCAAAGGACCAAGGTGAGCTTATGCCATACCTTGGTCGTCCGTCCGTCAACAATTTCTTTAAACGACTTCTTCTTCTTAACCACTGATTGGAATTTAACTAAATTTTACTGGAAGCATCCCTAGGTGGTGGGGAATCAAAATTGTACAAATGGTGGGGCTGACCCCTCAGGGGGCTGAGGGGCGGGGCAAAAAGGGGGCAATTTGGCTATATTGCTTTAAGAGCCTTCTTCTCTGGAACTAAGAAATGGATATCAACCATATTTGACTGGAAGTATCCCTAGGTGGTGGAGATTCAAAATTGTACAAATGGTTGGGCTGACCCCCCCAGGGGGCTGAGGGGCGGAGCCGAAAAGGGGGCAATTTTGCTAGATTGCTATAAACGACTTCTTCTGTAGAACTATGCACTGGATATCAATCATATTTAATCAAAAGCATTCATAGGATGCAGGGATTCAAAATTGTACAAATAGGGGGGCTGACCCCCCAGGGGGCTGAGGGCGGGGGCCAAAAAAAGTTGCCTGGAAGTGGTTGAGATCCCCACCATATAACCACATATACAATTGCTGAGTATAAAGAGAAGAATGCACATTTGCTTCCAGGATGGCCCTAGGGTCTGGCCCCACCCTTGGAAACATAGTCCTTGGGCCATGACTTTAAAACGACTGAGATCCCCACTCAAAATTTATATATACAAATGCTGGGCATAAAGAGACGAATGCAGTCACAATATTAGAGTAGACCCTGGGGTCTGACCGAACCCCTCGGGACCTAGTTTCTTAGTCACAGCTTGGAAACCGTTGAGATCCCCACCCTATAACCATATAGACAATTGCCAATTACAAAGAGATGATCATGAATGCACATATGCTTCCAGGATGGCCTTGGGGACTGCCCCACCCTTGGAGACTTAACCCCTGGGTCATAACTTTGAAATGGTTAAGATCCCCACCCCAAAACTATATATTCATTTGTTGGGCATAAAGAGACAAATGCAGTCATGATATTGACTTGACCTCAAGGTTTGCCCCACCCTTGTAGACTTAATCCCTGGGTCTTAACTTTGAAACGGTTGAAATCCCTACCCCAAAACTATATATACAAATGCTGGGTAAAAAGAGACAAATGCAGTCATGATATTAGAATTGATCCTGGGCTCTGGCCACAACCGTAGGGACCTAGTTTCTGAGTCACAACTTGGAAACAGTTGGGATCCCCATCCCATAACCATACATAAAATTGCCGGGCATGAAAAATTGAATACAGATATATATGCTACAAGGATTGGCCTTGGGGTCTGGCATATTCCCTTGGATCTTATTTGAAGAATATTCTGCCATGATTGCTTAGATATCCAGGTGAGCGATACAGGCCCTATGGGCCTCTTGTTTAATAGAATTAAAAAATGGTACTTTTGATTTTTGCTGTTTATTTATCTAAGGATGCAACAGTTAGGAAATATCTTGATGGCTTCATTGATCAACCGGTATTTATGGAATTTATTTGAGATTAATAGGGTGAAATAAACACATCATTATAGCAAGTCCTAGCCATGGTCAGCCTCTAGGTTGGGAGTGTTTATAGCAGCTTTTGAACCTTAGTATATATAGTTCAGCTTCTGTAATCAGGGCAATCACTTTCTATACCTCATAATATTAACTCGTTCACCCCTGCAGACACATTTGGACACCTCCAATTCAAAGTTTGGAATAGTTCATTAAAAAATTTCAGGAGTGAAAGAGTTCAAGTAGAAATAGCTGGTGGCAAATTACAAAGTGCTGGCTCTTGTTGCAATCTGATTAAAATCATATGTTACATGGCTTCTTTAACTTCGTACTACGCCTGAACATCTGAAGGTGCCGGGGTCAGGGTCACGTTCAGGTGACCTTTATATTTATAACTACTCATTAAATTTTGACCAATCAGAGACCCTCTTTCAAAAGGGCGCTCAGAGTTGTAACAAATATGGCGGATATTGATGAGAATGATGCGAAAGTTCTGAAGTTAGTTGAGATTGATCATCTGAAAACCGTACAGAAATAGATATTCGAAGCTTTATTAGAGAAGAAAGACTGTATGGCGGTGTTGCCTATGCAATTATTACCCAATGGATTGTACGTTTTCCTTGGCGTCGTAGAAACGTCAGTTCCCGCCTCCACATTTGTTTTGGAAAACTAACCTGTTCGATACCCCTCTCTATTTTTCCATCAAACGTGATATTCCGATTTGTTGGCAAATTTTTGCCTTTGCGCCTCTGATTAGTTCATCTTAAGGTTACTTGAACGTGACCCTGACTGCCGCACATTCAGATGTTCAGGCGGAGCCATGTAACAGATGATTTTAATCAGATTGGCTCTTGTTGATAATACAGAGCATTATTATATTGGCTATCCACATAGAATCCATTGTAATTTGTTAGTGAAATAGAGAGCAATTGGAAACAAATTACCACTGTTCTTTTAAAAAGAAAAAATACAAAGTCATAAAAAGTGTTTTAGTCTGTCTGATGGAATGGAAATATAAGATCTGATATTTGTTTGTAGTGGAGAAGTTGAGAAAGACTGTAATTGAGTTAAAGTCTGTCTGATGGAATGGAAATATAAGATCTAATATTTGTTTGTAGTGGAGGAGTTGAGAAAGACTGTAATTGAGTTAAAAGATGCAGGCAACAAGGCTCACAAGAACGAAGGTTACCACAGCCAGGCCGTGGAGTATTATACCCAGGCGTACGCCAAATGTGTTGGTTGTAATGACCTCAAAAATGAAGCGGCCATTCTCCTCACCAACCGGTCCAATGTCCTTAGTGTTCAGGGTAAACACTTTGAAGCCTTAGATGACGCTGAGAAAGCTATTGGGTATGACAACACCTGGTATAAGGTGAGAACATTAGCGGTTTGTTAAAGGTTAAACAAGCCTCTGAAAGAGGCTTTAGTTACCCTTAATTTCAACCCAATTATCATACATGCCATAACTTTCCTGTGCAAGATAGTGAGATTTTTTCTCTGAATTAGTGAGAAATTTGTGAGACATTTAAAACATAAATTGTACTGCATATAACATTGTATTATCTCATTTGTGTTATTCTGAAGTCTCTGATGACTCTGTTAGAGCCAAAATTAAAGATTTATTGATATTTAAAAGGATTTTAGGGAGGTTACACATGGCATACCGTCCAGATAAAGTTATCAACATTTAAAAGTATTTCCATCAAAGGCCAAAATAAATAATAATGAAAAGAAGTAAAACTTAGAGAGGGGTGTCCTTGTTACCCAGGTTAGAAAAAATATATCTCAAAACATTGGGAATATTTAATATTCATTTGCTGAAAAAAAGTAAACCGTTAATTACTACTTCCACTATTTGTATATATCCAATGGGAAGAAACTTGTTTTCTAGTGTTATGTTTTTTTCATCAACACTCAATCCCAACCTGACGACAAGAGAATAAATTCTGGATTCAATGTCAGTGTCCGGTGTCAATTTTATAGTCATGACTTACATTTTCGTTTGGGTAAACCATGTATGTGTTCGGTTGTAATGAATTAACAGCTGTTATGTTGCTGTTTAAAATGTTTATATCAATTGTCATCACATATTAATTAGCAACAAGCCCCCACTGGATGTGGGATCACTGATTTAATTGCTTAACAGTTCACACATCGGTGAGCAAGTCACCAAGCCAATGCGCTGTAAAATCGGCCGGCTGGGCCATTCACAACTTTCACAGCTATGCTGCTAATTGGCCTGTAATTTAAGTGGCTGGCGTGTGACTTCAGACCTCTTAGTTTATTCACTAAGATTGACCTTTGTTTTTCTTTTTTTCGTGAGACCGATTGAAATTCGTGAGAAATGGGTCTCGCACCATGAGGATTTTTTCGGAGGCAATTTACGCCTGGCGCCAAAATCGTTAGATATGGCATGTATGAATTATAAGTTGTATTGAGAGATCACAATTAAAAAATCAGAACTGATATAAATAAATTACATTTATTAGGTCACCTGAGCTTTAGCTCAAGTGACCTATTGCTATCCGTTTTCGTCCGTCGTCGTCCGTCGTCTGTTAACATTTTACATTTTAAACTTCAAGTTCTGCTGGGCCGATTAAACTGAAAGTTGGTAGGAATGATCACCTCATGGTCCTGACAAAGTGTTGTTATTTTTCGGGTCGATCAGAAATCCAATATGGCCGCCACAGCCGCCATTTTGAAAACCTATTTCAAACTTAAAGTCAAGTTCTGCTGGACCAATTGAACTTAAAGTTTGTAGGAATGATCGACTCATGGTCCTGACAAAGTGTTGTTATTTTTCGGGTCGTTCAGAAATCCAATATGGCCACCACGTCCGCCATTTTGAAAAACTATTTCAAACTTAGTCAAGTTCTGCTAGGCCGATTGAACTGAAACTTTGTAGAAATGATTGACTCATGGTCTTGACAAAGTGTTGTTATTTTTCGGGTCAATCAGAAATACAATTTGGCTGCCATGGCCGCTATTTTGCTACTAAGGTCTAATAGGCCGATCTCACTTAAAATTGGTCTAGGAATGATCAGCTCATGGTCCTGACAAAGTTAAGTTAACATTATACTATTTTTTACTCAAATTGGAACATATTTCAACAACAAAAATAAATACTGTAGACTCAGGTGACCGTTTAGGCCCATGGGCCTCTTGTTGAATATTTTGTGTCAAAAACAACATTTGTTCCCTTAGCGGTGTCATAATTATAAAAGCTCTACAGAGCTTATGTTTGTTGTTGAAATGTACACGACCTTGAATAAAGATTGTTTATTTTTTTGTGAACATGAGCAATAGCTACATTTGTATCTAAATGCTACGAAATAACATATTATCTAAAGTTCATTTATGTACTTAGTTTGTGCAGAGCTTTTACTAGCTGTGAAGAGGCTTTTGTAACATTTAATGTTGTTATAAAAACAAAATGTCTTTGCAGTTTATAAATAAAGAAAACAAAGGCTGTGTTACCTATAAATTGCTAAATGAACTTAAGAGGATGTGCCATTTCATAACACTGATGTTATGGATGTGCTAGACATGTTATAAACATTGACGCCACAACCGCAACTTTGAAAAACTATTTCAAACTTAAAGTCAAGTTCTACTGGGCCAATTGAACTGAAAGTTGGTAGTTGGTAGGAATGATCGACTCATGGTCCTGACAAAGTGTTTTTTTTTTTTGGGTGTATCAGAAATCCAATATGGCTGACAGGCCGCCATTTTGAAAAACTATTTCAAACTTAAAGTCAAGTTCTGCCGGGCCGATTGAACTGAAACCTGGTAGGAATGATCGACTCATGGTCCTGACAAAGTGTTGTTATTTTTCGGGTTGATCAAAAATTCAATATGGCCGCCATTTTGAAAAAAGTATTTCAAACTTAAAAACAAGTTCTAAAAGGCCGATTTAACTGAAACTCCGCCTAGGAATGATCAGCTCATGGTTCAGACAAACTTAAGGTAATGTTATACTTAACTATTTTGTACTCAAATTGGTACATATTTCAACAACAAAAAAAAATACTGTTGGACTCAGGTGACAGTTTAGGCCCATGGGCCTCTTGTTTTACCGTAAAAGTAGGTAGGATTTGATTTGGATAGTGTACTTTTTCTACCTTATATTGCAACCAACCAAGTCTCGCCCTTGTGATTTTGGTATTGTAATTAATGAGGGGTTCTTGTATTAAGACTTATTTGTTCTGAGCTTTGTTGCCACGGTGTGGCTTTGGGTTTATGGTATGTTATATATCCATACCAATAATTTGTGTACGCCCTTCGAAAGGTGGGACGTATTGTGTTATCACATGGATGGGCAGGCAAGCATGGTGTCTTCTTCATGTAGTAATTTTCAACGGATTAAATTCAAACTTCATGGGAAGGTTAATTACCATGAGGTCTCAGACAAGTTTGATAACCACCATTATATGACAGTAATTTACTGATTTATGCCCCTTTATTCAATTGCTGAAAGATTGTCTGCTCTATACCATGAGTAATTTTCAACATATTAACTTCAAACTTAATAGGAATGTTAATTACCATGAGAGCTCAGACAGGGTTGATACCCACTGTTATCTGACTGTAATTTATGGAGTTATGCCCCCTGAGTCAGTGGTGTGAGTGTAATCACAATTATCTGACGATAATTAATAGACTTATCCCACCTGGTTTTATTAATGTATTCCAAGATGGTTTATTGTACTCATTGATCTACCAGGTATGTTGAATTATTTCTCCTTTCACATAAATTACTCACAAATATTTCATATTTTTGTAAATGATGCAAACAATTGCTCATTCAATGTGTGAAGGGCTTTGAAGTATGTATACTGTGTCAAGTATTTTTGTGATCCCCCAAAAAACAAACGAGCATTCTAGTCCTGCAGTCGTCTTGTTTGGTTTTCTCTTTACTCTGAAGAAATAAGATATAGAGGATATTTAATGGTGTCTTCAGTAATAACAAATATATGTGTGGGTGCGCAGCTTCATTTGAATCTTAACAAAAACATTGTTGCCTTTGAATGCAGCGAATAGGAGATACCGTTATGATTTGTCAATACCAAAAAGTGATGTTTTCACAGTGTGAAAATATCACTTTTCATATTTGTCATACTGTGAAAGATATCAGTTTTATCAAGTTGATAGAATCCGATATTTCACTGGCAAAAATGTAATAAATACATATTAATATCAGCACCCAAAATTGATCATCCTGTTGGGTGACTTGTATGTTAGTCAACATGTATCTTATAGTTCTAGTCAAGCATTTTAGAGACACTGAAGGAAGGTGATATAGGGTAATAATAAAACGTGTATTTTACACAGGGACACTGGTGGAAAGGTCAGGGTTTAAGAGTACCTGGAGACAATAAGTTTATACTGGGTAGTGAAGTTTCATATATATTACAGGGACAAGATTCTACGAGTAATGCTGGGTAGTAATGTTACATGTATCTTACAGGGACACTGGAGGAAATGTCAGGTTCTACAGGTACTGGGCGACTAAGTTGATATTGGGTATTAATGTTACATGTTTTTTACAGGGACACTGGAGGAAAGGTCAGGTTCTACGGGTACTGGGAGACTAAGTTGATGTAAGGTAGTAATGTTACATGTATATTACAGGGACACTGGTCAGGTTCTACGGGTACTGGGAGACTAAGTTGATATTGGGTAGTAATGTTACATGTATTTTACAGGGACACAGGAGGAAAGTTCAGGTTCTACGGGTACCGGGAGACTAAGTTGATATTGGGTAGTAATGTTACATGTATTTTACAGGGACACTGGAGGAAAAGTCAGGTTCTACAGGTACTGGGAGACTAAGTTGATATTGGGTATTAATGTTACATGTATTTTACAGGGACACTGGAGGAAAGGTCATGTTATGCAGGTACTGGGCGACTAAGTTGATATTGGGTAGTAATGTTACATGTATTTTACAGGGACACGGGAGGAAAGGTCAGGTTCTGCGGGTACCGGGAGACTAAGTTGATATTGGGCAGTAATGTTACATGTATTTTCCAGGGACACTGGAGGAAAGGTCATGTTATGCAGGTACTGGGCTACTAAGTTGATATTGGGCAGTAATGTTACATGTATTTTCCAGGGACACTGGAGGAAAGGTCAGGTTCTACGGGTACTGGGAGACTTTGTCCCCTCCTTCCTTGCTTTCCTCACAGGCTTCTCTGTGAGCAAGGACATCACCATGGATCAAAGGCGAAGTTTCCTTGCAGAAGCTGTCATATCTTTAGCATCAGAAAAAAGTAAGTCAGTAGAGGAAATCAGCATGTCTATTTAAGTACATATTGATATCCAATATATATTAATGTACATTCTTCTTCAGCCATGCTCATCAAACTTCAAGGAAAGGCTACTGGGAATGAAGAGAATCCCCATTTATTTCAGGATCAAAGGTCAAGGTTATAATGACCTACTGTGTGCAAATCATTCCCGAACAATTGGGAGTGAAGCATCTCTTCACCATAGACCCAGAAACTTCACCACAGGATGATAACTTGTAGGATAACATGTTGGGAGAGGGCCTAGTAAGTTGTAAGAACTTGTACCCAATCCCTTTGACAGTTTAATGTCGATAAAATATGTTTGAATGAACTTAAAGGGTCAGAAGGAACCACTGTTTGTATCGGGTCCAAAGGTCAAGAAAATCGGGTCCAAAGGTCAAGAAAACAGTATAACGAGTGCAAAAATCTCATTAAAGATTCTTAAGGAGGGTATCCGTTATCTAGAATCTTGAATCTTTACAGGATAATTACCCATTGGTTGAAAGGATCCTTTTTATGCCCCCACCATAAAATGGAGGGGCATATAGTGTTGCCCTTGTCTGTCCCGTCCCGTCCCGATTCAATGTAAACACCCGTTTTGTCCCGATTCAATGTAAACACTTAGCAACTTCAATTATTGACAGATTTGGGCAAACTTTATACAAAGGTACAACCCTCCATAAAATGGGGGGGGCATATCGTGTTGCACATGTCCGTTCCTTCCCGTCCCGTCCCGTCCTGATTCAATGTTAACACTTGGCAACTTCATTCTTTGACAGATATTGGTCAAACTTTATACAAAGGTCAAGTATGAGTTTCAGGGATCCAAGGTCAAGGCCAAGGTCACTGTTGCTATATATAGAAAATCATCAACCGATTCAATTAAAACACTTAGCAACTTCATTCTTTCATGGATTTTGGTTAATCTTTATGCAAAGGTCAATTACGAGTATACTTCGGACATTGTTGTGTTTCACGGTTCCAAGGTCAAGGCCAAGGTCACTGTTGCTATATATAGAAAATCTTCAACTGGTTCAATTTGAACTTAGCAACTTCATTCTTTTATGGATTTTGGTTAAACTGTATATAAAGGTCAAGTATGTATGACATCCTTGTGTTTGAAGATGGTAATAACATACAGAAAAAACATATGAATATTAAAATAAACTCATCAACTTTAAGTGTTGTACCTTGTGTGTGTGCATGTTTCAGGGTGTCAAGATCAAAGTGGTTGTAACTTTTTATAGAACACTGAAACTAATTTCACATGGCAGCCGGGGCATTTATGTTTTACAGACATTAGAAAGGTCAAAATCACTGTAAAGTGAAATTAAAAAAACCCATTTCATGCTAAGTTGGGTATCTTATACATTCGACCATGTAATGCAAAATGATGACTATACTCGTTAATTTGTAATGAAGCCAAAAGATTTTTCGGTTTGAAGGTCATGGTTACATTTGATACATATAAGCCAAGAACATTTCCTTTTTGAAAAGGATTTATAATGTAAGGCTACAAGTTACTACCTCACATTTGCAACCTAAAATTTAAAACAAAAAGTCCTATTATTATTATATCTAGACCCCTTTTTACTCTGGAAGTCAGGTTTTTTTGTCAACCTTCGTCATTTAGCTATTTCTACAAAAAATATGAACTCTGTCGACTGTAAATAGTAGACCTTGAAGTAAAAGTGTTGTTTTTTTTTATTATTTTCTGCTCTGATGACAGTGCTGCACTTCAAGGTATGATAAATTGAAAAGATATACATTAAAAACATTGACACCTTACATCATAGTCTCTATATATACTTGATCCTGTATGACCAGGCCAAATAGACAGGTTAGTCTGTGTTTGGCAGGAAATCCTCAGGACCTCCGAGCAGTCAAAATAAACCAGAGTGCTCTTAAACATTTTTTAAGTGGTAAAGAACATCTGGAGGTGGGTAGAATATGTGATTATTTTGTTGCTTACAATATTTTACCACAAATAACCCCCAACAGATTGACTAAAAGTAGGGAGGGGGTTTAATTGTTAAAAAATGTCAGCCATCTTGAATATACCACTGTTTTGATGTTAGACCAAACTACGTATATTTGTCCAGTTTTAATGTTCTTTATTTTCAGACCAGGAATATTATGACAAAATGTCCAATGCCAAGCTGCAGAGTTTCCGTGATGCTGACTGGAGTTACGTGCTGGCCAGACTGTCGAAGGCCGGAGAATGGAAGACAATCCGTGACCTCGTCATGGGCAGTGAAAGGACACTCACTATGGCCAAGTCCAGAGGTGAGAAAGTGGTGGATGCTAAAATGTTGACTTGCTTGATTGGAGGATTTAGTAACAATTTAATTATTAGTGCTGAATTTTTTGTGTTGCTAGGTTATATAATGTCTATTAGAACTCAAGTGGAACTTTCTGAAACATTGTGTTGGTAAGGCTGGATGCGCACTGGTAACAACTAGAGTATTTTTACAGTCATGAACTTGACAATAGTGAACCTTTGCACTGTCTGGGTGTCAGCCTAGTGGCTGACATTACCTGTAATCTGGATATACAGGCATTTGCCTGTGTCCAGTATGATTATATTCTTATATCATATTATTATGAAGGATCTTTGTGAAATTTTCTCTGTGGGTAGGTTGGAAGTTTGAAAATGGCCCTAAAGGATTTGGAGTGGCACTAAATGTGCCGACGACAGGGATGACGTTTTGCACTATCTTCCCCTTTGTTCAAAACCACTGCAATGAGTACACCACCAGATGGGTGACCATTTTACTCAAAGTCCTGCTGGACAATGGCGGTGGACTGCCCAACTTTCTCACCTTCATCCAGGATGAACATGACACACCTTTACATGCTGCGGTCAAGTACTCGCTCATTACAGGTAAGTCTGACCATTTATATTTGCATGAGTATGAATATCAGGATTATCAAAATCTGTCCCGCACTGATTAATGGTTGTGTTGTTTTAATGTAAACACGAAAACATTTTTGCCTCATTTGTATAATAATATATTGTTTATATTTCTGCATAAATTTCCCACTCGCTTATAATTGACTAACCACAAAGCTTGGAGAATTATGTGAGCAAAACAAATGTTATTGAGTAATAGTGTTCTCACAATTCACCTGCATTGTATTACAATATGTTGTGGGAATGTATCTGGAGACATATCCCAATATCTTGTAAAAAGAACTGCTGAATATAAATTTTGAAGAAAATTTTGTCAAGAGTATTATCCACCTGAATCATAAACCATATGGACCATACAGGCTTTGTTTTTAGCTCACCTGGCCTGAAGGGCCAAGTGAGCTTATGGCATCGTGCAGCATCTGTCGTCCGTCGTCAACATTTTACTTTTAAACAACTTCTTCTGAATAACAACAAGGCCCAGGCTGATGATATTTGGCCAATAGCATGCTGGGATGAAGGGCTACCAGGTTTGTTCAAATGAATGACCTTGACCAATTTCAAGGTCACAGGGGTCAAATGTCTTAAAATCTTCAAACAACTTCTTCTCAATAACCAAAAAGCCCAGGGTACTGATATTTGGCCTGTAGCATGCTGGGATGAAGTGCTACCAGGTTTGTTTCAATGAATGACCTTGACCCACTTTCAAGGTCACAAGGGTCAAATGTCTTAAAATCTTTGAATGACTTCTTCTTAATAACCAAAAGGCCCAATGTACTGATATTTTGCCTGTAGCATGCTGGATGAAGGGCTACCAAGTTTATTGAAATGAATGACCTTGACCAACTTTCAAGGTGACAGGGTTCAAATGTCTTAAAATCTTCAAACGATTTCTTTTCAATAACCAAAAGGCCCAGGGTACTGATATTGGGCTTGTAGCATGCTTGGATAAAGGGCTACCAAGTTTGTTCAAATGAATGACATTGACCCACTTTCAAGGTCACAGGGGTCCTGTGTGGTATATATTGTGACAGCCGTATTGAGGTAGCTATCTTACCTGTGTGGTATATATTGTGACAGCCATATTGAGGTAGCTATCTTACCTGTGTGGTATATATTGTGATAGCCTTATTGAGTTAGCTATCTTACCTGTGTGGTATATATTGTGACAGCCTTATTGAGTTAGCTATCTAACCCGTGTGCTATATATTGTGACAGCCTTATTGAGTTAGCTATCTTACCTGTGTGGTATTTATTGTGACAGCCTTTTTGAGTTAGCTATCTTACCTGTGTGGTATATATTGTGACAGCCTTATTGAGTTAGTTAGCTTACCTGTGTGGTATATATTGTGACAGCTTTATTGAGTTACCTATCTTATATTGTGATAGCCTTATTGAGTTAGCTATCTTACCTGTGCGGTATATATTGTGACAGCCTTATTGAGTTTGCTATCTTACCTGTGTGGTATATATTGTGAAAGCCTTATTGAGTTAGCTATCTTACCTGTTTGGTATATATTGTGACAGCCTTATTGAGTTGGTTATCTTACCTATGTGGTATATATTGTGACAGCCTTATTGAGGTAGCTATCTTACCTGCTTGGTCTATATTGTGACAGCCTTATTGAGTTAGTTATCGTACCTGTGTGGTATATATTGTGACAGCCTTTTCGAGCAAGTTATCTTACTTGTGTGGTATATGTTGTGACAGCTTTATTGAGTTAGTTATCTTACCTGTGTGGTATATATTGTGAGAGCCTTATTGAGCTAGTTATCTTACCTGGGTGGTATATGTTGTGACAGCTTTATTGAGTTACCGATCTTACCTGTGTGGTATATATTGTGACAGCCTTTTTGAGCAAGTTATATTACCTGTGTGGTATATATTGTGACAGCCATATTGAGGTAGCTATCTTACCTGTGTGATATATATTGTGATAGCCTTATTGAGTTAGTTATCTTACCTGTGTGGTATATATTGTGAGAGCCTTATTGAGCTAGTTATCTTACCTGGGTGGTATATGTTGTGACAGCTTTATTGAGTTAACTATCTTACCTGTGTGGTATATATTGTGACAGGCATATTGAGGTAGCTATCTTACCTGTGTGGGATATATTGTGATAGCCTTATTGAGTTAGCTATCTTAGCTGTGTGGTATATATTGTGACAGCCTTTTTGAGCAAGTTATTTTACTTGTGTGGTATATGTTGTGACAGCTTTATTGAGTTAACTATCTTACCTGTGTGGTATATATTGTGACAGGCATATTGAGGTAGCTATCTTACCTGTGTGGTATATATTGCGACAGCCTTTTTGAGCAAGTTATCTTACCTGTGTGGGATATGTTGTGACAGCTTTATTGAGTTACCTATATTACCTGTGTGGTATATATTGTGACAGCCATATTGAGGTAGCTATCTTACCTGTGCGGTATATATTGTGATAGCCTTATTGAGTTATCTATATTACCTGTGTGGTATATATTGTGACAGCCTTTTTGAGCAAGTTATTTTACTTGTGTGGTATATGTTGTGACAGCTTTATTGAGTTACCTATATTACCTGTGTGGTATATATTGTGACAGCCATATTGAGGTAGCTATCTTACTTGTGTGGTATATATTGTGATAGCCTTATTGATTTAGATATCTTACCTGTGTGGTATATATTGTGACAGGCATATTGAGGTAGCTATCTTACCTGTGTGTTATATATTGTGACAGCCTTATTGAGTTAGCTATCTTAGCTGTGTGGTATATATTGTGACAGCCTTTTTGAGCAAGTTATATTACCTGTGTGGTATATATTGTGACAGCCTTATTGAGTTGGTTATCTTACCTATGTGGTATATATTGTGACAGCCGTATTGAGTTAGCTATCTTACCTGTGTGGTATGTATTGTGACAGTCTTATTTAGTTACCTATCTTACCTTTGTGGTACTTGGACTGTTCAACAGGACAAACCATGCTGCTAGAAGATGTACCACTGATGCCTGTTGGCTCGTTATTGTGTGAGATGGAAGACAAGCGAGGCGACTCAGTCTTCCACATCATTACCAAGAACCCACAGACCAAGGACATGGATCACATTCTCAAGGTCACCTGCCTTCTGTTGGACAAAGGGTTCTCCGTCAAGGTCAAGGACAGGAGTGGACGCACCCCCATAGACTACATCAAGCATGGGGAGAAAGAAGCTCTGTTTGACCTGCTGCTCAAACAGTATAGTAAAGGTAAATTGAAACTCATGAGTCGCTCCCCTTGCTAAATCGATTGCATTAAGGATGGAGAAGGAAGACAAGATGAGGTCAAGGTCACTGGTAGCTGCTTCTCTCCTCTCAGACTATATAATTGAAATATAAGTAAGCTTTGCTTTACATTAATACAGTAAAAATAAGGTCACGGTCACTAGTAGCTGCTTCCCTCCCCTCAGACTGTATAATGGAAAGAGAATGATTTGTTCAGTTTAATTTTGTTTAACATCCTATTAACAGCTAAGGTCATATAAGGACAATGAAGCTTTCGTTGATATTATCAGTACAGTAAAAATAAGGTCAAGGTCACTGGTAGATTATTTTGTGCTTATTGAAAAAGAATCTCAATCATCATTGAAACTCTTCCAGGAATCTTATTTTCAGAGGTAACTATCAATATTGAAAGAGAATCCTCTAAATTATGAATTCAAGTGTTAACGAATTACACCTACAGACATAGTTTATGAAATAAACTATTTTCATTTACTTTTTACACCAGACTATTTAATTAAATAATTTTACTTCTAAGATATCTTTGTGTCTGCTTTAACCAGATAAAAAACCAACAGGGAAATCTAAACAAAAGGCCACAGCTCGTGTAAGTCCACCATTACAGGAAGTCCAGCTTGATGACCCACAGAAGCTTCGAGAACTGGGGAACAAAGAATACAGCAATGGGAACTACTCAGCTGCACAGGAATTGTACACACTGGTAGGTTCAGAGCCTCACAATAACATTGTAGAATGGTACACACTGGTAGGTTCAGAGCCTCACAATAACCTTGTAGAATGGTACACACTGGTAGGTTCAGAGCCTCACAATAACATTGTAGAATTGTACACACTGGTAGGTTCAGAGCCTCACAATAACATTGTAGAATTGTACACACTGGTAGGTTCAGAGCCTCACAATAACATTGTAGAATTGTACACACTGGTAGGTTCAGAGCCTCACAATAACATTGTAGAATTGTACACACTGGTAGGTTCAGAGCCTCACAATAACATTGTAGAATTGTACACACTGGTAGGTTCAGAGCCTCACAATAACATTGTAGAATTGTACACACTGGTAGGTTCAGAGCCTCACAATAACATTGTAGAATTGTACACACTGGTAGGTTCAGAGCCTCACAATAACATTGTAGAATTGTACACACTGGTAGGTTCAGAGCCTCACAATAACATTGTAGAATTGTACACACTGGTAGGTTCAGAGCCTCACAATAACATTGTAGAATTGTACACACTGGTAGGTTCAGAGCCTCACAATAACATTGTAGAATTGTACACACTGGTAGGTTCAGAGCCTCACAATAACATTGTAGAATTGTACACACTGGTAGGTTCAGAGCCTCACAATAACATTGTAGAATTGTACACACTGGTAGGTTCAGAGCCTCACAATAACATTGTAGAATTGTACACACTGGTAGGTTCAGAGCCTCACAATAACATTGTAGAATTGTACACACTGGTAGGTTCAGAGCCTCACAATAACATTGTAGAATTGTACACACTGGTAGGTTCAGAGCCTCACAATAACATTGTAGAATTGTACACACTGGTAGGTTCAGAGCCTCACAATAACATTGTAGAATTGTACACACTGGTAGGTTCAGAGCCTCACAATAACATTGTAGAATTGTACACACTGGTAGGTTCAGAGCCTCACAATAACATTGTAGAATTGTACACACTGGTAGGTTCAGAGCCTCACAATAACATTGTAGAATTGTACACACTGGTAGGTTCAGAGCCTCACAATAACATTGTAGAATTGTACACACTGGTAGGTTCAGAGCCTCACAATAACATTGTAGAATTGTACACACTGGTAGGTTCAGAGCCTCACAATAACATTGTAGAATTGTACACACTGGTAGGTTCAGAGCCTCACAATAACATTGTAGAATTGTACACACTGGTAGGTTCAGAGCCTCACAATAACATTGTAGAATTGTACACACTGGTAGGTTCAGAGCCTCACAATAACATTGTAGAATTGTACACACTGGTAGGTTCAGAGCCTCACAATAACATTGTAGAATTGTACACACTGGTAGGTTCAGAGCCTCACAATAACATTGTAGAATTGTACACACTGGTAGGTTCAGAGCCTCACAATAACATTGTAGAATTGTACACACTGGTAGGTTCAGAGCCTCACAATAACATTGTAGAATTGTACACACTGGTAGGTTCAGAGCCTCACAATAACATTGTAGAATTGTACACACTGGTAGGTTCAGAGCCTCACAATAACATTGTAGAATTGTACACACTGGTAGGTTCAGAGCCTCACAATAACATTGTAGAATTGTACACACTGGTAGGTTCAGAGCCTCACAATAACATTGTAGAATTGTACACACTGGTAGGTTCAGAGCCTCACAATAACATTGTAGAATTGTACACACTGGTAGGTTCAGAGCCTCACAATAACATTGTAGAATTGTACACACTGGTAGGTTCAGAGCCTCACAATAACATTGTAGAATTGTACACACTGGTAGGTTCAGAGCCTCACAATAACATTGTAGAATTGTACACACTGGTAGGTTCAGAGCCTCACAATAACATTGTAGAATTGTACACACTGGTAGGTTCAGAGCCTCACAATAACATTGTAGAATTGTACACACTGGTAGGTTCAGAGCCTCACAATAACATTATAGAATTGTACACACTGGTAGGTTCAGAGCCTCACAATAACATTGTAGAATTGTACACACTGGTAGGTTCAGAGCCTGACAATAACATTATAGAAATGTACACACTGGTAGGTTCAGAGCCTCACAATAACATTATAGAATTGTACACACTGGTAGGTTCAGAGCCTCACAATAACATTGTAGAATAATAAATTATAAAATGCTGAAATGTTTGGGACCCATTTCTTTTTTTCCCAATTTGTTAGTTTAGTTAGTGATATCAATGATGACTGGCCAAAAGTGGGTTTGGCTACTCAAGGGGTGCCTCCTTGATATCCAGGGTTTACATTCATTTTCACCCTTTGTACCCCACGAATATGTCATAATAAAATTGAAGACACGCGACTTGCTATTTGATATGTCTCGGATAAAAAAAACCTGATAAATCCCTAGGCTGATGCCTGTCCTTTGAAGATAACAGAGGAGTGACACCCGACTTCAGAGCTAGTCAATTCTACCGTTACGAGACGAGAGATTCATTTGATGCACATCAAAAGATTAAACTGATCTTCTTGTCTCATCCACAAGGTGGTACACACTGAGCCTTTGATTTTGCTATGACATATTCCAGGGGTGCTGAGAGTCAAAGTGAGCATAACCTCTGGAGTATCTAGGATGCTCAAGGGGTAATACAACAGTGTGAAATAAAGGACCCTTTATTGCATGATCTGTAAACTAGCTTTGTGAATAGCAGTGAATTAAATATGGTATTCATCAGAAAAAAACATTGAACTTTTCATATATTTCATTTTTAGCTCACCTGGCACGAAGTGCCAAGTGAGCTTATGCCGTGGCACGGCGTCCGGCGTCCGGCGTCAATATTTTACTTTAAATGAATTCTTCTTAATAACCGAAAGGCCTAGGGTGATGATATTTGGCCAGAAGCAAACTGGGATGAAGGGCTACAAAGTTTTTTCAAAAAAATGACCTTCACCCATATTCAAGGTCACCTGCAGGGGTCAAATATGTTAAAATTTGTAAACAACTTCTTTGGAATAACCAAAATGCCCAGGATGATGATATTTGGCCAGTAGCATGCTGAGGTAAAGGGCTATTAGGTTTGTTCACATGAATGACCTTCACCTATATTCAAGGTCACATGGGTCAAATATGTGAAAAACATTAAACAACTTCTTCTGAATAACCAAAATGCCCAGGGTGATGATATTTAGTCAGTAGCATACTAGGATCAAGGGCTACCAAGTTTGTTTAACTGGATGACCTTGAATCATATTCAAGGTCAAGAGGAGCAAATATGTATAAAATATTTAAACAACTTGTTCTGAATAACCAACATGCTCAGGATGTTGATATTTAGTCAGTAGCATGCTGGGATCAAGGACTACTATGTTTGTTAAAGTGAATGACTTTGACTTATATTCAAGGTCACAGGGGTCAAATTTGTTTAAAATCTTTAAACGACCTCTTCTGAATAACCATGAGTCCCAGGATGTTGATACTTGCAAGTTGAATCCTGAGATGAAAGGCTATAAAATTTGTTCAACATAATGACTTTGTTCGACTTTCAATCACAGGGGTGAAATGTTTAAAAAAAACCAACAGGTTCTTTTGAATAAATTTTAATCATAAATACTGATATTTTGGCTGTAGCTTTATTTTAGATCACTTTTAAGGTTACAAGTGTGAGATTTATACCAGGTGAGCGATGCAGGCCCATTGGGCCTCTTGTTTTTTTAAAAATGAAAATATTGCTGCATTAAAAAAAAAGTTTAGGAATAAACACTGCAGTATTTGATGCCAGGTTATATCGACGACACCAAGACTGATTGTCATTTTGAATGGGTTACTCGAAGCAATTTTAATGTTTGCTGCTATCAACTAAAAAGGTTTACCATCTGTCCTGTTACATAAATATGTTAAAAGTATGTAGAAAAGGTAAACTAGTATTACTTATTCAACCATCACCTCAACCGAATCTCTTTGCCGAAAGTCTACAGCTGTGAATGCAGTGAATGGAAAGTACCATTCTGATTGGTCAATTCTAATAGCTATGTCTTCACATCTGAAGATATCATTTCATATTTCTTCATTAGTTTTATCAAGAAGATCATTCCAAATATTTAGCTGGTAAAAATGTAATAAATATCCTTTTTCATTTTTGAAGACATTTAAATCTCTTGGTTATCTCTGAAGTTCGTCGGTTTCAGGCTATCAAAGCCACGCCCCAGATGGAGAGCAGTAGCCTGTGCAGGTTGTTTGGTAACCGGGCCGAGTGTTACCTCCGACTGGGTCAGTTCGAGAAATCACTCAGTGATGCTATGGAAGGAGTGTCACACGACGGCCATTGGTACAAGGTAGGTTACATGACCAGGCCCCGGTTTCATCAACGTTCCTTAACTTTAAGGAGCTCCTTAAACCGGCTTTTTCCTTAAATATAAGGAGATTCCTTAACTTAAATAAAATTGCGTTTCATGAAGCTTCCTTAACTTAAATCCTTCCTTAAATTTAAGGAATCCCTTAAATATTTAAGGCCACATCAACCCAGCCTTAAATCGCTAAGGAGCTCCTTAAATCAACAAAGATGGCCGCCATGTATTCGAGTTTGGTGAAGACGGCATTGAAGAATTTGACAAAGATTAAGTTAGGAGGTTGAAAACCAGCTTTCCGACTAACGTTTCGGTCCATTTCACTTTGTTGACAAAGCTATGTCCGGAAATTCACCATTCTTTGGTAGATTACTGTTCGTAGAACAATAATATCGCACGTGGCATTTTTCATTGAAGAAAGGTACCCCGAAAATGTCAGAATACAAAATGAAATATGCGTACAATTTCATTTTGTATTTTGACATTTTCGGGGTACCTTTCTGTAATCACGCGAGTTGTTGTGAGGCCAAACATTATAATTCTTGTGCATAATAAGAAATGTTGTGTTCCCGTCAGTTCATCGTGGTCTCTGTAGGAAAGGCAGTGTCAATGAACTAAATATTCGAAGCCTAAATAAACAACGGTTTCTAACATTTTGTTGGACAAATTCGTCTGCTCTTGTCTACATAAAACCTTCTTCCGGTACTAACGTAGTACTAAGTACAATGCCTCACCCATATGCAACATGGAGTGGCAGATAAAAGTTACCTACGTGCATCGTGGAGCGCCCTGATTATGTAAATGATTTGGGTGGAAAAGAAGAAGAAAACACACACACACATCCAAAACAGACACCTAAGAAACATAGCACATGCAAATACAGTGCTTCCATAATCATGAACCATTTATTTTTGTACTTTGCATTTTCAACAAAGGTCAAATACTTACTTGTGTTAAATCTTGCATGTTATAGTAGAACAAATTAATAACATTAATTTTAACAAATACTTATTTTCATAAATAAAAATATAATATAACTATGTAGGAATGTCACAATTCATATCTATCCTGTCTTTGGTGTAACTGCTACATTGAACTTGAGGTAAACGAAAATAATATTACCTAATGTTGAAGTATTACATGTAATTGGTTAAACCAAATGTCAGGTACATTGAGTGACAATAATTGATAAATGAGTTTTATGAATTGGAATATACAGGGATAATCCTGGAAGGTCATGGGGCAATTGACCCTTCAAAACAGAAATTGACCCCTCCATGTTCAAATGTTCTTTTAAGTTTACATATAATGGCCCTTCTTAAGTTTGATATTGACTTAAAATTGCTGACAATGGCCCACTGCTTTCAAATTCCAGGATTTTCTCCTGATATATGGATTTTAAAATAAAGATAAGACATGTACATTACACCTCCTGTATCAAAACATTGCGATGAGACCAGAGTAAAGTTTTAATGCAATGTTTCTTTTTCCTCTCTTCTTTACTTTTCAAATTAACCTTTTTGGCAGATATGTCTAATCCACTGTGTGATCATTTATTCATAATTTCTGCAGCATAGTATTTCCAAAAATTGATAAAATCACAAAACACACAGCAAGTGAAAACATTTATTAATCTACATGTAACTGTAAAAAAGCACCATAACAATTTGTAACTTGTTTTCTTTAAACACAAACATTTTCCTCACATCAAAGACAACATTGATTGTCTTGGTTTAAGCTGTGTTACACAAATTGAAAATGACCATTGGGTTAAACTGTCTAATGTTAGTTTTGACACCAATTTTGGAGTGTATGGGAAATTCCATTTGTTGTCTATCCATGCGACGCAGGATTTCAGGATCGAAAAAAATAGGTTAAAAAAGTATATTTATAACATGAATTAGCTGTATAATTTAAAGAATTATTCACTATATGAAAGTATATACATATGTATACTCCACTACAGTGAAGAGTAACAAAACTTTTCTTTCCACAGTTAAATGTTCAACACATTCTTGGATTTTAACCTGTAAATACACAAACATAGAATAGATGTACAATGGAAGGTTATATTATAATGTAAAATGAGAAACAATCAAGGGTTTTTGTAAATTACTGGTCTCTTTTTAGATTTTCCACTGAACTACATATAAATATGTTAAAAAAGAATGTTGTTGTCGATGTACAAGAAATTTTGTAGTCCCACCCATGCATTCTCCCGAGGGACAACTCAAAAAATAAAAAGGCTACAGAATGAAAAAGTATACGAATTCCAACAATCTATTTGCCTTGCATGTATAATAAAAATATGTAACAAATTTCGAATTATGCATATGTACATGTGTGTCAGGGATCAATCTAGGTTTAAGAGGAAATTACCCTTTTTCAGATTTGGGGGAAATTAAAATCTTGATACAAGGCTCTAGCATCATGAAGGTAAAAGATAAATGTTTTGTCCGACATACATGTGTGCAATATATTTCAATTTTTAAACAATTTTAAGCTTCAAATTGTAGAACTTTTGTTTAAATTATGTGGAGAAAATGTTTATATGCAGTATTATGCATTTTAACTGTTGAACTTTAAAAAAAAAACATATATAGGGGAAATATTTTGAAGAAAAACAGCTATTTTCTTGTTGAAATAGGGGAATTTTGAAGCACACAGGGGGAATTTCAAAGAACAGGGGAATTTTCTTCTGTAGGGGAAACTACCCATAAACAGTAGTGAATCAAGTCTAAATTGATCCCTGTATGTAAAATGTTCCTTAAATAGGATTGGTTTCACAGCGTGTTTGGTATCTGCTATATCCATTTTCACACCTAACCTCCTCCATCCCAGGTCTGTCCCTGTTACGCACTTAATGTGTGTCAGAGTGTATAAATAAACCTTAAAACCTTTAGTGATTACATAACAGTGACTGCCCTACAGTACTTTGGGGTGGGGTTGACCTACACCACCACATTTGTAGTGGGCACTTCACCAAATACAGATATTTCTTTACTGAAAACAATTATATACCACAAATTTGAAATGTACATGTGAAGGGTTTTGTATAGAACATAGACAATACATTTGACAAATACAACACATTAGCCAAGAACCATCATATACAGTGTATAGTATATACATGCTTACAGTGTACATGCCAGCATGTTGTTTTGTATAGGAATAATATATTCAAATTCAATTATGCATCTTTATTGCATAATGTAATTTTCACTTTTCCTACTTAATAACTTCATTCATTTTTAATGATGTGCTTTTGTTCTGTATTTGTTTGCCTCTCAACAGAAATGAAAAACCTGTCTGTAGAAGTCATATTTCAATTTTAAACTTTGGTTTAAAATTGAGCATTTTAAAACAGTAAATTTTATATACAATTTTCCCTGGGATTTATATACACACCTTTTATATATTCATTTTTTTAATTATAATTTAAATAAGTCTGGGCTCCCGTTCACAGAGAGCAAACAGTAATCGTGTAAAGGATGTGACCAGTGACTAAAAACACATTTTACATATAGTCTGTAGGCCTACATAAACTGATCTATTTATAGAACAAGTGATGGCTCGGTATGAGTTATTAGTAAACTTATATAGTAAAAAAAATATGTCCTAGACAAAAGTAGTTGGTATTTTTCATCTCTGCTACCCGGGCATTAATCGGATATTAATGAGTAAGCTAGGCCACAATAACGTAAAAGCAAATAACTTACTGATATGTAATCTTGTCGTCTGGATGTTCCGCTTGAAATTGCCGATTAAATCGTCTTCTCATCGGGATATATCAAGATGGACAACCATATTTATTGAGGAAGAAGTGTAACCTATCTGCCTTTCCAGGATCTAAAAGATGTTTCAAGAAACAAAAGGAGAAACAGATGGGGAAATCCGCGAAAAGACAACGTTTGTTTATATTGTTTTCCTGTACTTTTCTGCCAAAAGAGTTCCATTAAGGCCGCTTAGGCTGCGAAAAAGTTACGGAAATTTTCCTTAGCTAAGGAGCTCCTTAGTTAAGTTAAGGAACGTTCATGAAACGCATTTTTCGGAAAACCTTAGCTAAGGAATTCCTTAGCGATTTTAAGTTAAGGAAACATTTAAGTTAAGGAACGTTCATGAAACCGGGGCCAGTGCAAACATCAGCAAAAGAAATCTTATTTTAATGGCACCCTGGTAAAACACTGCTTCCTACTGACTCGCCGAGGGAGAAATTCTCTTCAGCTCATTCAATAGTGCATAAGACAATGAAACCAAAAGCCCAAAGACCAACCCTTAGTGGAGGCAGTGCATTGCTATTTGATGACTCTTGTTATAAAGACTCACACGTAGGGATCTGGGAAAGAGTTCACGAGCATACTCCGTGATCATTTCACAGGAATTTCTATGACCCCTTGAAAACTCTGGGACAAATTATTTCCTGGCATCCAAGTATATCACCGTGGAATCATACTAGTCGCTTCCTACCAACTCGTCTGGGCAGAATTTCTCTTTAACTCGATAGGCGGAGTGTGAGGCTAGTAAACCGGAGTTTTGACCCCTAGCGGAGGCAATGCAATGAAGAAATAAATATGCAAGACCACACACTTGTGTTTTTCTAACGAAACAGAAAGCGCGAGTGTATTGAGCGGACGAATATATACGTCCGCACAATTTATCACATACCTTCCGTATTTGGTAGAGATTGATACAAAGATTTTATAAACTTTGATATTTTTTGCAAATACCGGGAACTGTTCAGCTCATCATAAAAAGTAGATATCAACAGAAAATTGTTGTATTACTATTGTAAGGTTACATAGGTATATGATAAATATAGTAACCTCTGTTTTATTAGCTCACCTGGCACGAAGTGCCAAGTGAGCTTATGCCGTGGTCCTCTGTCCGGCGTCCATCCGGCGTCCGTCCAGCATCAATATTTTACTTTAAACAACTTCTTCTGAATAACCAAAATGCACAGGGTGATGATATTTGGCCAGTAGCATGCTGAGATGAAGGGCTACAAAGTTTGTTCAAATGAATAACCTTCACCCATATTCAAGGTCACAGGGGTCAAATATGTTAAAAACTTTAAACAACTTCTTCTGAATAACCAAAATGCCCGGGGTGATGATATTTAGTCAGTAGCATACTAGGATCAAGGGCTACCAAGTTTGTTTAACTGGATGACCTTGAATCATATTCAAGGTCAAGAGGAGCAAATATGTATAAAATATTTAAACAACTTGTTCTGAATAACCAACATGCTCAGGATGTTGATATTTAGTCAGTAGCATGCTGGGATCAAGGACTACTATGTTTGTTAAAGTGAATGACTTTGACTTATATTTAAGGTCACAGGGGTCAAATTTGTTTAAAATCTTTAATCGACCTCTTCTGAATAACCATGGGTCCCAGGATGTTGATACTATGCAAGTTGAATCCTGAGATGAAAGGCTACAACATTTGTTCAACATAATGACTTAATTCGACTTTCAATCACAGGGGTGAAATGTTTTAAAAAAACTAACAGGTTCTTTTGAATGAATTTTAATCATAAATACTGATATTTTGGCTGTAGCTTTATTTTAGATCACTTTTAAGGTTACAAGTGTGAGATTTATACCAGGTGAGCGATGCAGGCCCATTGGGCCTCTTGTTAGGTCACCTGGGCCCAATTGTATAAAACATCTCAACTCTAAGATTTCCCATAGACAGTACATTGCTTGAGATTTTCCTTAACTTTGAGATGTTTTATTTAAGTGGGCTCTGAGCCTTAGCTATCCGTCTTCGTCTGGCGTCGTGCGTTGTAGTCCTGACAAAGTGTTATTTTTCGGGTCAAGCAGAAATCCAATTTGGCCACCATTTTGAAAAACTGAAAACGCTTGAACTAAAACTTGGTAGAAATGATCGACTCATGGTCCTGACAAAATGTTGTTATTTTTCAGGTCGATCAGAAATCCAAAACGTTTTATTGCAAACTTGAAATCAAGTTCTAATAGGCTTATTTAACTTGAACTCAGTCTAGGAGTGATCAACTTATGTTCCTAACAAACTTAACGTTTTACTTAACTATTTTTTACTCAAATTGATAGGGATGATTGACATCATTATCTCCACTTCATATTCAACAACATAAATAAGTACTGTAGGACTCAGGTGACCATTAAGACCCATGGGCCTCTTGTATTGATATCTACCCAACCTTTAGTTTTCACTGAAATGAGGTTAAAATATCTTAGTATGATAGTATCTCTAAAAGTTTAGTTGCCCTCTAGTGTAATATCTGTATGCTGGTATTTGTATTTCAGGCTCATCTAAGGGTGGGCAAAGCCATGGGAGCCATGGGACGCAATGAACAGGCTGTGAGAGCCCTTGTTAACTCGTTCTCCTCACTGTCTGCCCAGGATCCCGAGACCATACGACGGGAAGTCCTTGCAGAGCTGGCAATTCAGTATGCTAAACTGGAGAAATTCAAATGTATGTCATTTTAGAACTTTTGTATGTTAAAACTTTACAGGATATTTACCATCACTTTTTCTCAAGGAACACTTGACAGGTTTTTCTCTAATTTCATATGTATGTTTCCTTTTTGCCTGTTATCGTGCATGTTTCATTTTTAGAATCAAGATGGCCACCAGGCAGACATCTTGAATGTTGTCTGTTCAATTGTGTTATCACTATATCCTAAGAAGTACTTGACTGATCTTTCCTAAAGTTTCAAATGGAGGTTCTTATTGTTAAACATTAACCCTTTCACCACTGTAGACCACAATGGACTTATCCAGATCAATGCATGGGAGAGTCTACTTAAGTTGCATAGGGGTGAAAGAATTAAGTACTCTATACTAGTAGACAAACTACAATCTCAATTTAAAAGAACACTGTCATACACAGCAGTATGAAGTTTTGATCAAAAGTTACAAGATGCATCTTCAGAATTACATAACTCAGCTTGACAGATAAGAGAGAGAAAAAAAATCAAAGAAAATCAATCTTACACAGAACCAATGACAATTTTAAGATGGTGGACACCTACATCCTTCTGGATCTCAAATTTTGAATCTGAAAAACTGTGGCAGCCTTATTGATATTCACCAAAATGTTGTCCAAAAAATGATGTATATACATTATTGTTTGTTGGTCTCGGACAGTATCTGTTTGCATGATCATTTGTTGATGTTCAAATTTAAGTTTTGTGATAAAGTTTCTGATTCGGTGGGTGACATTTTCTAAGACAGCTTCCAGCCCCGAGTCTAGGCCTTCAGATCATTGTATTGAGTTTTTTTTTATGTAGATAATAAACAAGTTTTCTGTATGTTCAACCAAATAAGAAGAACTGTCACAGATAAGCAGATTCTCTGGTATTTAAGGCCATCAGACTGCTATTATAATGATGAGTAGTACCGTATTTGTTAAAATCTGAATTATCAAAAAGAAAATTGAAGAACTTGACGTTATCAGATATTGTTAATTCTAACATTTACAAGAAGGCTATCTAAAGGATGATCAAAGTTACGTTTTAAAGATCCCCGTACGCATATCACTGCAGAATGTTTTAAAGATCCCCGTACGCATATCACTACCAAACGTTTTAAAGGTCCCCGTACTCATATCACTGCCAAACGTTTTAAATGTCCCCGTACGCATATCACTGCAGAATGTTTTAAAGATCCCCGTACGCATATCACTGCAGAATGTTTTAAAGATCCCCATACGCATATCACTGCCAAACGTTTTAAAGGTCCCCGTACTCATATCACTGCCAAACTTTTTAAATGTCCCCGTACGCATATCACTGGAGAATGTTTTAAAGATCCCCGTACGCATATCACTGCAAAACGTTTTAAAGATCCCCGTACTCATATCACTGGAGAATGTTTTAAAGATTCCCGTACGCATATCACTGCCAAACGTTTTAAAGATCCCCGTACGCATATCACTGCCAAACGTTTTAAATGTCCCCGTACTCATATCACTGCAGAATGTTTTAAAGATCCCCGTACGCATATCACTGCCAAAAGCTTACTACGCATAGGAAATTGTTTTTTCCAGCATAACTATAGCTTTGATAAATCATTCCTGGAAGGAAAACTATGCCTTTGTTGGCCTTTTTATGAAAAAATAATCATAGAGATAATCATAGAGATGAAATAATAATCGACAACAGTGCTCTGAGTGTATAAAGGCTGTGTGGCATGACCAGATTCTCTAACTGACAGAGCTACCTGGTCAGTGGAGGTGTCCTGTCCCGTCTATGCTACAGTTATATCAAAAACTGAATTAAAGGGAGGTTACAATGTATATAAAAAAACCCACAGAATAGCCGTACATGAGTCCTTAATATCCCTTGTATTGCAGATAATGAGAGGATCTCTGGGCTGGAGAATGTAACATGTCAAGATTGGGCTAGAGCATCGTATGATCTGGTGTGTAGGAACCAAACCAATGCCGCATTAGTCGCCTTCAAACAGCTCAACATCCTCTGCAAGGGGCAGGTACTGAATTTCCAAATAAGAGTTGACCTGCGACCTTTATGTAACCTTGGTCGCCTAACAACAGATGAGTGGATACTTGAACTTGTTGAACTGCTGTTGACCTGTGATAGTGACCACAACACGCTGTCTGTCCAGAGCGGTGACCGCTATATCCACGCCGTGGTTAAGATGACACTAGCTGCAGGTATGTGTCCTGTTAGGTAATTACAATCATGATGAGAACCCAGTTTTCTGCTTCAGTGACATTAAAGAAGAGGAAAAATCCCCTACCCCTACCAAAAACTGTATAACTACACATCGGAAACTTTTATTTTTCCCCTGCACGACTATAGCTTTGATTTTTTTTGAAAAGAAAACCACGCCTTGCGTGACTTTTATGAAAATAATTTGAGAAAAATCAAAATATCATCAACAACAGTGTTCTGAGTGTAAAGATTCAATGGGGCTAGACTGGTATTTGAACCCTAGATTTCTGATTGTTTTACTATAGCTCTCACCAACTGGGCAACCTAAGGTTGGTCAACGATCCAGCTGTGCTGCAGTTATATCTAAAACAGACTTAAGGGGAGGTAATATATATACAAAAAACAGTTTACAGGGACAGCGATCCTTCAAAAGTTTAAGTGACACATTGGATGGTAGAGGATCAGCTTGTGTAGGTTATGAGGAATAGTTCTTGAAGATATGTGAAGGTTAAGTTTTGATCAGTGTAATGTTCTCTTTGCTTTAGGGCATAGTCATATTTGTCATGGTTACAAGGTGAGGGTTGCTAGGTAGGATCCATTCATTGTCAGATTTGTCATGGTTACAAGGTTAGTGTTATGAGGTAGGATCCATTTATAGTCAGATTTGTCATAGTTAGGCCTTGATGGTTACATATTTTGAGTTTTTGTTTTTGTTTTTGTTTTAAAGGAGTGATCAGTCTCCTCCCATTCGTCTTACACAACTTTGCAATGCCGATTGAGGAACAAAACCTGCTGGATAACCACGGTAACACTGCACTCCACATTGCAACCCGTGATTCACGTGCCTCTCCTCTCATACGTCTGAAAGTAATCATGGAGTTGTTGGATGCTAACATCAGCACCTTGCAGAAAAACAATGATGGCCGGTTGGCAGTGGAGTATGTGCACAAAGGGGAGGGTCAAATGTTAGCTGTGCTTGTGGAGTATATGAAGGCAGAGGAGGGTATGTTTCCTGGTTTTTTCAAGACATTTGCTTACTTTATTTTTTTCGGTATTGAAATTTAATTCTCAGCAATGCTTAAATGATTGATTGATTACTAAAAATAAAATTATTGCACACCTCAATTTCAGCAATTTCATCTCTGAAGCATTGTGGTAAAATATGTTGAACAAAATATTTCTTAAGCTGTGTGATAACCAAAAGAACAGTATTTATGGATACATGCTGACTTGTGTGCTACCGAGTTATTAATATCTAGCATGATTTGATGTATCTTGTATCTTTGTGATCTTGAAAAGAATATTTAAACAACTTTGAAAATAAAACAACTGGTCAAATTGTTTTAGCAATGAACAGACAGATGAAAATGCAGCAAACCATGATGGTCAATGCCCTTCAGCAGAAAGCACAACAGGAAAAGCTGGAGAAGAAGAGGCTGGAACAGCAAAAGCTTGAGCAACAGCAGAAGGAAAGACAGCAGAAGGAAAGACAGCAGAAGCTTGAACGTCAGGAGCGAGAGAGGCTACAAAAACAACAGGTAACAGCATAAAAAACAACAGGTTACAACAGTGCAAACAGGTAACAGAATTTCAAACAACAGGTAACAGCAGTGCAAATAGATAACAGCAGCAACAATAGCAGATAACAACAGCACAACCAACATGTAAAAATAGCCCAACCAACAGGTTACAACAGCACAACCAACATGTAACAATAGCACAACCAACAGGTAACAACATCACAACCAACAAGTAACAATAGCACAACTAATATGTAACAATAGCACAACCAATAGGTAACAGCAGCACAACCAACAGGAAACAACATTACAACCAACATGTAACAATAGCAAAACCGACATGTAACAATAGCACACCCAACAGGTAACAGCAGCACAACCCACATGTAACAACAGCACAACCAATATGTAGCAATAGCACAACCAACATCTAACAATAGCACAACCAACAGGTACCAACAGCACAACCAACAAGTAACAATATCACAACCAATATGTAGCAATAGCACAACCAACATGTAACAGTAGCAATAGCACAACCAACAGGTAACAAAAGCACAACCAATATGTAACAATAGAACAACCAACATGTAACAATAGCAAAACCAACAAGTAACAATAGCACATCTAACAGGTAACAACAGCACAACCAACAGGTAAAAACAGCACAACCAACAGGTAACAATAGCACAACCACTATGTAACAATACCACAACCAACAGGGTACAATAGCACAACCAACAGGTAACAACATCACAACCAACAAGTAACAATAGCCCAACCAACAGGTAACAATAGCACAACCACTATGTAACAATACCACAACCAACATCTAACAATACCACAACCAACATGTAACAATAGCACAATAGATAACAACAGCACAACCAACAGGTAACAATAGCACAACCAACAGGCAACAGCAGCACAACCAACAGGTAACAAAAGCACAACCAATATGTAACAATAGAACAACCAACATGTAACAATAGCAAAACCAACAAGTAACAATAACACAACCAACATGTAACATTAGAACAACCAACAGGTAACAGCAGCACAACCCACATGTAACAACAGCACAACCAACAGGTAAAAATAGCACAACCAACATGTAACAGTAGCAATAGCACAACCAACAGATACCAGCAGCACAACCAACAAGTAACAGATAGCACAACCAACATGTAACAAGAGCACAACCAACATGTAACAATAGTACAACCAACAGGTAACAGCAGCACAACCCACATGTAACAACAGCACAACCAATATGTAGCAATAGCACAACCAACATGTAACAAAAGCACAACCAACAGGTAACAGCAGCAGAACCAACATGTAACAACAGCACAACCGACATGTAACAATAGTACAACCAACAGGAAACAACATTACAGCCAACATGTAACAATAGCACAACAAACATGTAACATTAGCACAACCAACAGGTAACAGCGGCACAACCAACAAGTTACAATAGCACAACCGACACGTAACAATAGCACAACCAACATGTTACAATAGCACAACCAACAGGAAACAATAGCACAACCAACATGTAACAAGAGCACAACCAACAGGTCACAATAGCACAACCAACATGTAACAAGAGCACAACCAACATGTAACAATAGCTCAACCAACAGGTAACAATAGCACAACCGACATGTATCAATAGCACAACCAACAGGTAACTAACAATAGCACAACCAACATGTTACAATAGCACAACCAACAGGTAACAACAGCAAAACCAACAAGTAACAATAGCACAACCAATATGTACCAATAGCACAACCAACAGGTAACAAAAGCACAACCAACATGTAACAATAGTACAACCAACAGGTAACAGCAGCAAAACCAACAAGTAACAATAGCACATCTAACAGGTAACAACAGCACAACCATCAAGTAGCAATAGCACAACCAACAGATACCAGCAGCACAACCAACAAGTAACAGATAGCACAACCAACATGTAACAACAGCACAACCGACATGTAACAATAGTACAACCAACAGGTAACAGCAGCAAAACCAACAAGTAACAATAACACAACAAACAGGTAACAGCAGCACAACCAACAGGGAACAACAGCACAACCAACAAGTAGCAATAGCACAACCCACAGATAACAGCAGCACAACCAACATGTAACAATAGCCCAACCAACAAGTAAGAATAGCACAACCAACAAGTAACAACACAACAACCAACAAGTAACAACAGCACAACCAACAAGTAGCAATAGCACAACCCACAGATAACAGCAGCACAACCAACAAGTAACAATATCACAACCAACAGGTAACAATAGCACAACCACTATGTAACAATACCACAACCAACAGGTTACAATAGCACAACCAACAGGTAAGAGCAGCACAACCAACAAGTTACAATAGCACAGCCGACAGGTAACAATAGCACAACCAACAGGTTACAACAGCACAAACAACATGTAACAATATCACAACCAACATGTAACAATAGCCCAACCAACAAGTAACAATAACACAACCAACATGTAACATTAGAACAACCAACAGGTAACAGCAGCAGAACCAACATGTAACAACAGCACAACCGACATGTAACAATAGTACAACCAACAGGAAACAACATTACAGCCAACATGTAACAATAGCACAACAAACATGTAACATTAGCACAACCAACAGGTAACAGCGGCACAACCAACAAGTTACAATAGCACAGCCGACAGGTAACAATAGCACAACCAACAGGTTACAATAGCACAACCAACAGGTAATAGCAGCACAACCAACAAGTTACAATAGCGCAACCGACAGGTAACAATAGCACAACCAAAAAGTAACAATATCACAACCAACAGGTAACAATAGCCCAACCAACATGTAACAATAGCACAGCCAACAGGTAACAGCAGCACAACCAACAGGGAACAACAGCACAACCAACAAGTAGCAATAGCACAACCCACAGATAACAGCAGCACAACCAACAAGTAACAGATAGCACAACCAACATGTAACAATAACACAACTAACAAGACCAACATGTAACAATAGCACAAATAACAAGTAATGACATCACAAACAGCAGGTAACAACAGCAAAAACAACAGGATAGCACAACCAACAGGTAACAGAAGCACAACCAACAAGTTACAATAGCACAGCCGACAGGTAACAATAGCACAACCAACAGGTACCAATAGCACAACCAACAGGTAACAAAAGCACAACCAATATGTAACAATACCACAACCAACAGGTTACAATAGCACAACCAACAAGTAAGAATAGCACAACCAACAAGTAACAACATCACAACCAACAGGTAACAATAGCACAACCACTATGTAACAATACCACAACCAACATGTAACAATACCACAACCAACAGGTTACAATAGCACAACCAACAGGTAACAATAGCACAACCAACAAGTAACAATAGCACAACCAACATGTAACAATAGCACAACCAACAGGGAACAATAGCACAACCAACAAGTAACAATAACACAACAAACAGGTAACAGCAGCACAACCAACAAGTTACAATAGCGCAACCGACAGGTAACAATAGCACAACCAACATGTAACAATAGAACAACCAACAGGTAACAATAGCACAACCAATATGAACAATAGCAGATAACAATAGCACAACCAACATGTAACAATAGCACAACCAACAAGTAACAATAACACAACAAACAGGTAACAGCAGCACAACCAACAAGTAAAAATAGCACAACCAATATGTAACAATAGCACAACCAACATGTAACAATAGCAGATAACAATAGCACAACCAACATGTAACAACAGCACAACCAACAGGTAACAATAGCACAACCAACAAGTAACAATAGCACAACCAACAGGTTACAATAGCTCAACCAACAGGTTACAATAGCTCAACCAACAAGTAAGAATAGCACAACCAACAGGTAACAATAGCACAACCAACAAGTAACAATAGCACAACCAACAGGTAACAACAGCACAACCAACATGTAACAATAGCACAACCAACAAGTATCAATAGCACAACCAACAGGTAACAACAGCACAACCAACAGGTAACAACAGCACAACCAACATGTAACAATAGCACAAATAACAAGTAATGACATCACAAACTACAGGTTACAACATCACAAACAACAGGTAACGTCATCAGAAACAACAGGTAATGTCATCAGAAACAACAGGTAATGACATCACAAACAACAGGTAACAACAGCTCAAACAACAGGAAATGACATCACAAACAACATGTAACAGCAACACAAACAGCAGGTAACAGCAGCACAAACAACAAGTAACAGCAGCACAACCAACAAGTAACAGCAGCACAAGTAACAGCAGCACAACCAACAAGTAACAGCAGCACAAACAACATGTAACAACATCAAAAACAACAAGTAAAAGAAGCACAAATAACAAGTAATGACATCACAAACAGCAGGTAACAACAGCAAAAACAACAGGAAACGACATCGCAAATAACAGGTATCAGCAACACAAACAGATGGTAATGGCTTGATTTATCTAAGGGGATCTGTTTTACTTGTTAGGCTTTGTTTGACCTTACTTAAGAAAGTTTTTATGACAAATTTAAGCATTAGGGAAATGCTGATTGATTAAAAGTTTGTGTCTTAAGCAGAAACAAGCCAAGCCCCCAGTCATTCGTCCTGAGCTTGTCAGATTTAACCCCTGTGAGGTGTGCGAACAGAACATGGACGAGGCCAAAGAGCACCTGAGACTTAAACGTACGGGAAAGGCATACATCGGACTAGCTAAGGTCATACGCAAGAAACACAAAAACAGCAACAGTAACCAACATCGAGGACTGGTTGATGAGGCCCTCACTCTGGTTACAAACAGTCTCCGTACAACCTTTAACCCTGGTAAGTGAGCGGGCCTCAACACTGATTAGAGAGTCACTGTTCTACACTTTCTTCAAGTAATATAACTCAATCGCTGATCACAAACTGTTGCATTACAATCTCCAACTATGGGTAAGGGAAGGCCAAGGCACAGTCATAAAGTCTCAGTAATTTTGCCCTCAACCCTGGTAAGTTAAGACCAAGCACTGGTAAGAATCAGTTCTGTTTGACCTTTAACCTGGTAGTAAGGACCAAGCACCGGTAACAATCAGTTCTGTTTGACCTTTAACGCTGGTAAGTTAGGACCAAGCACTGGTAGCAATCAGTTCTGTATGACCTTTAACCCAGGTAAGTTAGGACCAACCACTGGTAGCAATCAGTTCTGTTTGACCTTTAACCCTGGTAGTAAGGACCAAGCACTGGTAACAATCAGTTCTGTTTGACCTTTAACCCTGTTAGTAAGGACCAAGCACTGGTAGCAATCTGTTCTGTTTGACCTTTAACCCTGTTAGTATGGAGCAAGCACTGGTAACAAACAATCAGTCCTGTTTGACCTTTAACTTTGGTAAGTTAGGAATTCTGTATGACATTAAACCCGTGTAAGATAGGACCAAGTACTGGTTACAATCTATGACCTTTAACCCTGGTAAGTTAGGACCAAGCACTGGTAACAATCGGTTCGGTATGGCCTGTAATCTACTCCGGTCATGGTCACTTTAAGGGTGTTTCGTTATAACAGAACACTTGTGACATACAGCCAGCTAAACCTATTATCCTTGGTAGCAGGGACCTAGCACTGATCGCAGACATTCTTTGCAGGAAAACAATATTACATTGTTATAGTCACAGTTAAAAGTTTCAGAGCATTTCAGGTAAAAAGCAAAAGGTTACATACACCGGAAAGAAATTCTCACAAGGAATATAAGGGAACCTATTGGAATCATTCCAATTTGAACATTTCAATCCCAAGGTATACATATGAAAAGAATTAAAAATTGTTACTTATTTTGTCTATTATACAGAAATACCAGAGAGTTTGGCAAAGATTCCTGTGGATTTTTACCAGAAGATTATTGATGGTTTGGCCAAGGAAGAGAAATGGAGGCAGGTTGACATCATGGTTCTAGAGAACCGGAAACATCATGGGGATCTGTCTTTGAGGGATTTTGCGAAGAACATAAACATTGCCCGAGTGATACGTCACCCGTCTTTCGTCAAGCAAGACGACCTCCTTGCACAGCTTATTGACAACATGTTGGACAGCGGAGCAATCATGGAAAATGGTAGAGTGTTCTCTCTTATGGAGAGGTGACCTTTGTGATTTATTGTAACTTAACCTTTGTCTAGCCACCAGTTTTAATTTGACTGTTTTGTAAATAGGTTTGTTTTCACGGTAGATGATAGTTTAATAATCACATTAATTTACACATAATTAGTTCAAATCTTATTGTAACAATGATTCAATGGATCCTATATATTTCACATTCAAGTGCATATAAAAAAAGGAATGATAACTACAGGCATAGTTTGCAATATAAAGTGATTTACAATATACATGTATATATAAATTGATCCTATGTCTATATAAGAGTTATTGGTCAAGTTGACAATAAAGAATATCAGCCCAGTTGCAATCTTCTGGTAAACATCTTCATTCTAACTGCTCAATTGCTTATCTTGTATACTTCTCAAGAGCATTTCATACATTTATTGTGTTGTTAGTATATTTATTCAATTTAGCTCAGATAGGAAACCATGATACTTGAAAATGATCATCACCTAGAAGTAGAATTTAATACTTCTGTATTATAGAGGGGAAGATGTGCATGCTAGCTGCAATCCAGGAAGAACATTTCAAGTTGCTGTGTACACTGTTTGAAAGGGGAGCTAACCCGGTATTCTTGTCCCTACAGCCAGGGGACACGCCCCTTCATGCCTCCATGTCAATAGCCTTGGAGAGAGACAAAGGTATTGAATATTCAGAGGGCATATTAGATTTATAATTTTGACCAATCAGAATAGGATGCTGTAGTGAAAATGGGACAGGTGTTTATTTGTGTAGGAATATTAGGAGATTATCTTCCTCATATTGGTGATGTCTATTGATGTTTCATCCTTGGGCTAGCTATTTGATTGGTGTCAGGTAAAAAAATCTGACCTATCACTCGGTTGATACTTGTCCTTTGAAGTTTACAGAGGCGCCACACCTGACTTCAAAGCCAGTAAGTTTAACCGTTATGCGATCACGAGATAATTTTGATGTACATCAAAGGATCAAACTTTGTCTTCTCTTGTCATCTTCCAAGGGTGGAGCACACTGAGCCTTCGATTTTGCTATGACATATTCCAGGGGTGTAAAAAGCGAAAGTGAGCGTAACCCCTGAATATCGAGAATGCTGGTGTTTAAAAGTAATCTCCTTTTAGTTCAAGGGCTAGAAAAAGGAGGATAAATTTTGTTTTACAGCTACTACAATGTTTAAGTGTGTCATGTCTGATCTGTGATTGAGATATTAGAAGCTCTTTCATTGGTCGATGAGATATTAGAAGCTCTTTCGTTTGTCAGTATGATTTACTCATAACCTACTTAACTTTCTCTGGGTAAGGAATGACATCAGACTGCTTTCTGATCTAATATGTCACAATTCCTGTTGAAAAAATCATATTGTATTATAAATACTAAACACCAGGATATTTTCGCTGCAGTTCAATTTTTGCCTTTTTCACCCTCTGGAATGAGGCCGAATTTATCATTAGAGCAAACCTTAGTCAATAATATAATTTACATAACAATTGAATGTGAAATGCAAAATTAACACTGGGCGATTTTGGATTTCACATGCAAAGGCAAAAGTTTGATTGGGCCAAAGTTTCCCAGTATATTTCCTGAAAAATAAGCTAATGACACTTTAATAAGCAATTTTTCAGAGTGAAGCATTATGAAAATGACTGAAATTTCAAACAAATCATGATAATACAATAGAAACATTTTACTTAAAGTTTAAAAAACTTTCAACTGAGATTAGAATAGAAAAAAAAACCCACCCAAACTTGTCTGGTCTACAGATCTTCCCGATCTTTGCCGACATTTTAGCTTGTCCTTGCTTGGTAACGAGTATGGGTCTTTATGGAACAGTTCAGAAATGACTTAAACGATTGAGCTACAAAAAGGTAAATTTATCTTTGATCCTTTTTTCTATAAATTTTCATTATTTGCTTTTAGGCAACTTCACAATCCTCAATATTCTTTTGGATAAATTTAAAAGTGACCCGGAGAAGTTTGCATTACTGGACCCTAACCAGCAAGATGCCAATGGTGATTGCCTCTTTCACCTCGTGGCCAAGATGAAGTACAACAGCACCACACAGAAAGCCACCGAGCTTTTGTGTGAAAAGAAGATATCTGCTCTGGTCTATAATAACGAGGGAAAGCTACCAAAGGATTATTTAATCAACAAGAAGAACGACCGCAGGTAATAGAAGTTTTAAGAAAAACTGCACCAGTTTAAACAATATCAGTTCGTGGACAATTTATATCTCTTCGAACATCTTCTTCTTCCTCCACTACTAAATATACAGTTTTTAGCTCACCTGGCACGAAGTGCCAAGTGAGCTTATGCCGTGGCGCGGCGTCCGTCGTCCGTCCGTCGTCCGTCCGTCCTCGTCCGTCAACTTTTCCTTTAAACAACTTCTTCTGAAGAACGGACAGGCCTAGAGTCATGATATTTGGCTGAAAGCTTCGTTGGTAGGAGCCCTACAAAGTTTGAGAACGAAAATGACCTTGACCTGTTTTCAAGGTCACAGGGGTCAAATATGTCAAAAACTTCAAACGACTTCTTCTAAAGAACTAAAAGGTATAGAATCTTCATATTTGGCTGATGGCTTCCTGGGATAGAGCCCAACAAAGTTTGAGAATGAAAATGACCTTGACCTACTTTCAAGGTCACAGGGGTCAAATGTGTCAAACACTTCAAACGACTTCTTCTGAAGAACTGAAAGGTATAGAATCTTTATATTTGGCTGGTGGCTTCCTGGGATAGAGACCAACAAAGTTTGAGAATGAAAATTAGTTTGACCTACTTTCAAGGTCACAGGGGTCAAATATGTCAAAAACTTCAAACGACTTCTTCTGAAGAATTAAAAGGTATAGAATCTTCATATTTGGCTGATGGCTTCCTTGGATGGAGCCCAACAAAGTTTGAGAATGAAAATTACCTTGACCTTCTTTCAAGGTCACAGGGGTCAAATGTGTCAAACACTTCAAACGACTTCTTCTGAAGAACTGAAAGGTATATAATCTTTATATTTGGCTGGTGGCTTCCTGGGATAGAGCCCAACAAAGTTTGAGAATGAAAACTAGTTTGACCTACTTTCAAGGTCACAGGGGTCATATATGTCAAAAGCTTCAAATGACTTCTTCTGAAGAACTGAAAGGTATAGAATCTTTATTTTTGATTGATGGCTTCCTTGGATAGAGCCCGACAAAGTTTGAGAATGAAAATGACCTTGACCTTCTTTCAAGGTCACAGGAGTCAAATGTGTCAGACACTTCAAACGACTTCTTCTGAAGAACTGAAAGGTATATAATCTCTATATTTGGCTTGTAGCTTCCTAGGAAAGAGCCGAACAAAGTTTGAGAATGAAAATGACCTTGACCTTCTTTTAAGGTCACATGAGGCAGATATGTCAAACACTTTAAACGACTTCTTCTGAAGAACTGGTAGTTATAAAATCTTAATATTTGGCAGGTGGCTTCCTGGGAAAGAGCCAAACAAAGTTTGCGAATGAAAATGACCTTGACCTACTTTCAAGGTCACAGCGTTCAAATATGTCAAACAGTTCAAACAGCTTCTTCTGAAGAATTAAAAGGCATAAAATTATAATATTTGGCTGGTGACTTCCCGGGATAGAGCTCACCAAAGTTTGCAAATGAAAATGACCTCAACCTACTTTAGAGGTCACAGAGGTCAACAACATTTTAATGGATTTGTTCTTGAGAACTAAAAGGAATGGATTCATAAGATTTGGCTGGTAGCTTTTTGGAATAGAGCTAACCAATTTGAGAAGGAAAATGACATTGACCTACTTACAAGATCACAGGGAAAAATATGTCAGCAATTTCTGAAGAAGAAACAAAAAGCATAGAATCTGATAATAATACTTTGCTGGTAGTTTCAATAGATGGAGCCAACAAAGTTTGCGAGGGAAATATTAAATATTCAGGTGAGCGATACAGGCCCTCTTGGGCTTCTTGTTTTCAGTCTATTAATTTGGGATGGGGCCTTTTTATCTCATTTTGAGAAGAAAACATACTTTATACACAACACAAACACGAGTATAAAGTGAATTGACCTACTATATTTATTTAACTACACAACTGAAATTGACTGAGAGCAATAGATAGTCCGACACTCTCCTACGACTTGCCTAGTGAGCTACTGACGCTGACAGTAGTTAGTCCAACACTCTCCTACGACTTGCCTAGTGAGCTACTGACGCTGACAATAGATAGTCCGACACTCTCCTACGACTTGCCTAGTGAGCTACTGACGCTGACAGTAGTTAGTCCGGCACTCTCCTACGACTTGCCTAGTGAGCTACTGACGCTGACAATAGATAGTCTGACACTCTCCTACGACTTGCCTAGTGAGCTACTGACGCTGACAGTAGTTAGTCCGACACTCTCCTACGACTTGCCTAGTGAGCTGATGACACTGACAATAGATAGTCCGACACTCTCCTACGACTTGCCTAGTGAGCTACTGGCGCTGACAATAGATAGTCTGACACTCTCCTACGACTTGCCTAGTGAGCTACTGACGCTGACAATAGATAGTCCGACACAGGGGTCAAATATGTCAAAAACTTCAAACGACTTCTTCTTAAGAACTAAAAGGTATAGAATCTTCATATTTGGCTAATTGGTTCCTGGGATGGAGCCCAACAACGTTTGAGAATGAAAATTACCTTGTTCTACTTTCAAGGTCACAGGGGTCAAATGTGTCAAAAGCTTCAAACGACTTCTTCTGAAGAACTGAAAGGTATAGAATCTTTATATTTGATGGATGGCTTCCTGGGGTAGAGCCCGACAAAGTTTGAGGAAGAAAATGACCTTGACCTTTCAAGGTCACAGGGGTCAAATGTGTCAGACACTTCAAATGATTTCTTCTGAAGAACTGGAAGTTATAGAATCTTAATATTGGGCTGGTTATGTCTTGGGAAAGAGCCCAACAAAGTTTGCGAATGAAAGTGACCTTGACCTACTTTCAAGGTCACAGAGGTCAACAACATTTTAATGGATTTGTTCTTAAGAACTAAAAGGAATGGATTCATAAGATTTGGCTGGTAGCTTTTGGAATAGAGCTTACCAATTTGAGAAGGAAAATGACATTGACCTACTTACAAGGTCACAGGGAAAAATATGTCAAGCAACTTCTGAAGAATCAAAAAGC